TTCCAGTCAGAGCTTTATAATAATTTTCATAATTTAAATGTTTTCCCCTGACATTTAGCAATTTTAAATGTAGCCTTTAACTGAATTTTTAAATTAGTATGGGTTATACTTTAATTTCATTAATGATCCTGATAGTTTCTGAGTGATCCCATTATATTAATTCTTTTAACACTGAGTTATTTACTCTTTATTTCTCTAATTTTCTCTGGGTATTATTCCTGACTCATTTGCAGCATCTAACGGATTCTGCTGATACACTGAAAAAACAAAAGGAAAATTAAATAGCTGCCTATTTCAGGCAAACAAAATGTTCTTACAAATTAGTCTGTAGCTAAAATATGTGGAGCAAAAAGTTATTGTGGAAAGAAAGAAAAATCTTTTTATGATAAGTAGGATCTACAAGTTAAACATGAAAACAAAATGCTATAGATACAGTTTTGCAGCTCACAAATGCTGAAGTAAATTAATAATCTAGGGGCTTAAATCTTAAATGGCTTTTTCAACTCTATAAAAGGATCTCTGCAGGCTTTACCCATGTTTACAATCTACCACCAGCTACCTGACTGTATAAAATAATAGAGAGAAAATGTAAAGGGAAAAAATGTACAAGGAGCTTTTATATCTAAATTTGGGCCAGTTTCAGTGAGGCTGGAAATGCATTTGGCATTTAAAAACCTTGTGGTTCATAATGTGTATTCTTCTCAAAAATAGTTTTTGTAATACTAGATTCTCTAAATGCTAGATGTCTTTATACAGGAGAGGAAAAAAAAAAGGGTATTAAAGACAGAAAAAGACTGGACAGCCAAAAAAAAAAAAATTACATTAATTTTTCTAATTGAAAGAATTATTTCATCACTCTGTGATGCGGCTTTCAATAACATACGCATTACTAGCAATAGATTATGGGCTGAGAATTACAGCTTTCTCTTTGACTGTGCTGTGAAAAAGGCAGGGATGGTTTATATGGGGAAGACTCATGAAGACTGGGACAAAGAATGGATCCTGCTTGTCCTTCATTGCAAAAATATTTAGCTGTACAGCTTTTCCAATTTGGGTATCAGGTCTTCCTCGAGTATTTGCTCGCCCAAGCATTTCCTCACTTCTCTCCAGTAGTGGCCTTCCTTGCATTACTGCTCCATCTTGAACCTAGAAGTTTGCTTTCTTAATGTCACCTGTATTCTATGTAGAAAATGCAGCTGTTTTGTGCTAGAGAGGAGGCAATAACTGCAGTCCAGTGTTGCTGTGGAGTGGAAAATTCTGGCCTTTGAATAATAAATGCTTAGTCATTCTCTTGAGTAGTCTGTCTTACAGTTCACAGTCCAGTTGCTGCAGTCCTGCTCAAAGTCTTGGACTGCAGGCCTCAAGAATGCCCTATCTGTGCAGCTGATACTGTCTTAATTCATGTGATCTTCAAGAGATAATATCTGTATCTGTATCTGTAAAAATATAGCTGTAAAGCATCATCCAGGAGTACAATGCTAGCTTGTTGGCTCCTCTACTGTCATAGAGTTTTGAAGTTTGTTAATGGTAATGAAAGTGAAAATGACTCCATCTGTTAAGAGAAATGTTTACTCTTCTGTACTAGGAAGCTTGCATCTCTCTGCAGCTTATTGTCAGCTTTACATCAAGCAGCAGGGAAAAGAAAGAATAAAAGTCAAAATGAGCTGAAAAATACCTTTCAGGCTGATTTACAGAATACAATATATTACTGAGAATGTTCTGCTTCCTTTGATGTTATCCAACACACCATACTGTGCATAGTTTATGGATACAAGAGGTAGGTGATTCTTAGAAAAATGCATGCTCTCCAAACAATAACAATTTGAACAGATTAATTCCAAACCCTCTGAAATTTACTCTCTGTACACAGCATATTATAATATTGATAGAAAAATACAAAAGCAAACAGCTCGGAGATATCTGAATTTTGTGCTTTGAATTTAGGCTGATACTGCCACTGAAATTGAGATTACAGAGTTTGCAAAAGAGTGAAGAAAAATACCCTTCACAATAAGGTAAGGTCAAAGACCTACTCACTTCAGGTCTTGATTTCTGCAGGAGGGCTCCAGCTAGATGCTCAGTTTTCCTGCAACATAACGTATCTGGTATTTGCAAGGAATCTAGAGCATACTGAAGTAAAAACAATCTTCTGCTCCCTTGTTGCTTTCCTTTTTCCCTGTGGCTTTTTGGACCATGTAGTTTCTCTTCAGAAAAAAATAACAGAGGGGAGATTCTAAATAGCTATCCTTCCTTTAGGATGAGGCTCACCTTTTCCCCTTCCTGTTCTGTATCCTGCTATCCTTCAAAGTGAAGGAGTGGTATCTCTGAATTCTTTGTTATTTAGCAGCTGTGGGAATTGAATTCATTTTGCCTTGAGTTACAGACAGCCCTTCTCATCACAGTCGCTAAAACCTCCTAATTGTTAGGGTCTGTACCCATCCCAACATGCCTGAGGAAGGGCAGTCATTGACATCACTGAGACACAGTATGACCATAAGAAGTTATCTGAACTGCGGGACTTAAGTGCACACCCAGTCTGTGATCCGACTCGTGTGAAGAGGGATTCAAGCTTTTGCCATGTGGTGGCTGCACTCTAGTTTTGGAGGGAAAGGTGACCCTGGAGCCAGGGTGGAGCAAGTCTGGCTAATGAGTGGACTAGTTGCTCAGGGAGCAGCACAGTTTAAGTGACCTGGAGGTTGAGCATCACCAGAGACTGATGTCCGAGGCACCAGTACTTTCCATAAAAGCACATAAGAGGACTTTGACATCTGTGGGTGGATGGCGCTTAATTCTAAACAATTCTGGTGGCTAGGGTATTTCACTGGGCATCATTTTACTTCAGAAGGAAAAGTTACTTACCTCCAGCCTCTGCATAAACACAGTGGCTACTGATCTGTCTTCTTAAGGAATGATAGTGAGCCTCTATTGATCCTAAATCAAAGCACTGACCTGCCCAGGATTGTTTTAAGGTGTGTCTGGGAAACTTGCAGATCAAACACATCAGGGCTTTCAGAGACTGGGAGGGGTTTTCTGGATTGCACTTCAGCGCTGAGGCCCTATGTACCATGAGGTGCAGGATCATTCAGTTGCCTCCATATAGCAGTCTAGGGCCATTTAAGGAGCCTTATTATTTTCTGCTGGCCTCAAGAGGCTATTCCAGGGAGTTGTGGTATTTGCGTGTCGGATATCATATCCACTATCTCCATGTGTTGGAGACAGAGTGATTTTTAGGGAGTAGAACTGAGTCCTAAATAATCTGCAAAAATCAACATGCTAGAGGCAAGCCTCAAATGTACTTTCTCTAAAGCCTAATTTAGTCCATACCCCAACCACTAGCCAAGTTGTTTTGCTCCTTGCCCAGAGTTTCTTGTTCAAGTGAGAGGCTTTTACTTTGCTGCTTTTCAGTGCTAAGTAGCTGAATATCCATTTCATACTTGATGTCTGGAAAGCCCTAGAAATCTTAATGCTGTGATCTTTGAAGCCTTACTCTCGTCCACTGCTTTTCATTTCAAGCACTCAGTCTTCTTTCACAAAGGACCCACAAACTGTAGCCAGAAACAGTCCTAAGAAAGATGAAGCTAAACTGATCAACGTTTTCTGTTTAGTGGTGACTTTTATCCTCTCCTTTCTGTTATATTTCCTCTATCAGGTCAATACTCAAAAGTAGATTTAATCCTACTGATATTGACAAAATTAGTTTCACAATTACTGACTTTGGATTTCACACATGCATCACCATTTGTAGGATAAGGCTGTAATATATTGAACTCATCAGAGCAAGAGATTCTCTCTTGTTTGCAGCTTGCTGCATAAAGAGTACTATAGGTCTGATCCATGCCCTTCTTTTTTTGTCAATATTGGAAAAAAATAATGTATTATGGAAACTGTACATAGACTTTACTCAATAGAACTGAATACAATATTTGAGTATTTTGGAGAAGTTTCATAATGTCTGGGTTTTTGTGCATTTATACTGTCAGCTGCTAATACAGCATATCAAGTTTTCATTATGTGTAGCTCCTGAATGCTTGGAATAGGCTCCTTAATGAAGTAAGCAATGTATTTTGATTGACAGCTAAAAAAAAAAAATTAAAAGTCTATTATTTTGTGTTGGTTGTTCAGGGTTTCTTTTTTGTGAGACATCTCCTGAATCTGAAAGGCATTTGGAAACTTGAGATGTGCCTGAAATTCAATGGGTGTAAGAAAAATTACTGAGTTCTCAGCATTATTCCTGTATCAGATTAGTTTATTATATTTGAAGTTTAAATTTTAAACAATTCATTATCATATTTTGATGATTCCCACAAAAGAATGAAAATAAAAAGTGCTTATAAACAAACATACACTTAAATTTTGGCAGATAAGTCCTTCTTAGTTAACACTTCACAGAAATTACTTGTATGTACTTGACAACAGCATACATTTTTCATAAATCTGATTCTTGTGTTCTCAGGCAAAATATTAAGAAAGAACAGCAAAAAGGAATATGCCAGAGATGACATCTTGGCAAACTCACTGAACTTATTATCATATACAGTAAAAACCTAGAATATCAGCAAGGCATATAACTTTGGGTCATTCTGTACTACTGTTTCTGCTGATCCTTAGACTATGGCCAGATGTGACCTTTTTTTCTCCTAAATGCGTGACTAATGTAGCACATCCTATTGGCCAACTGAGCCTGATGTTCAAGATTCTGTTACCTGTCAGTCAAGTGATAACAGTTGTCTGCCCCAGATTGAGTCCTGAAAACTTTCCAATTGCCAGAAATACTTTATTAAGTTCAGGGTGTTTTGGACCACATTTTTAAGCTTCACTACTGGTTCCTCCTTGGATGATGGGTCACTTAGACCCATTTTTTGCTATGTCATGAGGATATGTAATATAATTAGTGCACTAAAAACAAAATTTTGTTTTCCTCTGGTCTCATTTGTAAGTGAGGCATTACCCAAATGGGGGTGGTGGTACAATAACCTCTGATCTTGTGCTGTTGTCCAAGGTGTACTGCTGCTGCAAATCAAATCATCAGCAGAGAACACGTCCTCATTCTACCCAGGGGTACAGCCACTGCTTTTAGTAGTCTGAGCTGTGCTTAACTGGCTACAGAAATAGCCTATAATCCAGGATGTGAGAGTAAGGAAAAACTGGTATGTGACTCCTAAGGGATTCTAGTAACATGGGTGAATAAGAGAAAAAGGTGGGTGTCTTAATGCGTGCAGATCTCTACATATCATACCACCTGCCAGAACACAATGAACATGATATTGCTAAGCATTGAAAAGATTTATCATGCAGCAGCCATGAAGAAAGTATCCTTGCTTCTCAGTTTGGTTGGAAATTTGGAAAGGTATTTATATCTGCACCCTCCTTTTCGTAATGGTGTCCAGTTGTGGATTTAGGGTGCTTATTTTAAGAAAGCATTGGTGTTAAACAGCTATGGTATAGACAGCACCATGTACCATACAGATGTTCTGAATCCCATCAGTGCATATCATGCAGCTAGCAAATACTACACATCAGAAAAAAAATTTCCACTATCTGTTGTATATAAGGTAATCTCAGTTTTTGCTGAGTTCATCCTGTCGCCTAACTTTTTGTAGCACAAATTTACATGATGTGTAGGTACTTCAAAAATAACTTCTAAATTTGTTTTGGCTTTGTTTTATTTAAAAGCTTTCTCAGATTGCCCAGGCATATTTTTGTCCTGTATCACCAGCAGGACTCAAGCTCAGAATATATTATTGTTTTCTTGATGTGTTATGTGTTATCCAACATCTGCTTTCTTTGTCATGCCAAATCCTTAAGCAATATTTTGAAAGACCTGAAAGATATTTTAAGTAGTAAACATCTTCTAGTAACAATACTTAATTTCATCACTACTCTTAAAAATTTCGTCTGCATGTTAATTGCTTTTGAGTTTCCATACGGTCTCTCCATTAGTATTTAGGATTTTTTTTTTTTTTCCTTTTTACTACACACCTCATGTAGCCAGTGCCATAACATTTAGAAAGATAGTTATAAAAAGGTAGTAATCTTTGTGATTTTCTTTCCCTTACTGCCTTTAGGCCAGCCTCTTGAACAGAAGAAAAACTAAATTGTTAATGCATGGGAAAACAAATACAGTGATTTTATATGTACTGTAGTTTGAGTTTTTCTCTGTAGCACTCCTTTAAAAACACTATTGCATAGTTATCCTAATTACATGGTTGCTGTCTGGCCAGCAAAAGAAGAGTTCAACAAAATAAGCTTCAGCAATTCTCTGAAGACTGCATTGGACTTTACTATTATTTTCTCTAGTTCTGACCTTAACCTAGGACTGAAGGTTATCTAAAGGCAAAAATAGCCTCAATGCTGTCTACTCTGAATTTCCTGCAGTAGTAAATGTTGTTATGTTTCTGCTAAGTTTTCTACAGAGACAGCCTGAATTTCTGTCCAGGACCTCTTTTTTTTTCATAACCTGGGTTAGGGTCTGGATTTAAGATCTGTGGACGCCACATCCCATGTAAAATTTACCAAGCGTTATCATTCATGCGTTCATTTCACTGTTAAAAGGATGCCATCTTCTGCCAACTTTCGCTTGGAAGTATTTAGCTATGCAAGCCTGCAGAGAAACACAAGGGATAAAGAGCTGGTTTTTGCTTTTTGACAGTTCATTTTCTTCCTGCCTACGACGTGTATAGATCTGAGGCTCACAGGTGGAGCTATAGGCCATTGAGAAACATGATGCTCTAGTGTCCTTCTCACACCAAAGCAGAATACAGACCCTCTTGACTGGAGGACCCATTTCAGCCCACTGTGAGCAGTCCTACTTCCAGATCCCGGCCCATCCATACAAGAAAGACCAAGTGAGTGGTGAGGTGAGCAGCATCTGCTGATTTGCTTGCTTGTCTTTCATTTCAGCTTCCCAGAAAATCTTGGCTGGTATCAGATGCCAATGTTTTCCTGTAAATGTTCTATTTCTGTCACAGGATAGAAGTTAAAAATTAATATTCTGGATGTAATTGGTGGATCTTTGGGGGAGAAGCAAGAGACTTGTGCTTTAGGATAGCATGGGCTGTTAACTCTGCCTAACTAGCGAGGCAAAGTGTGAGCTGAATACCATGCTAAAATGACTTCTGCTTTCAGACCGCTCAGAGCATGGGCAGATCCTGTTTGCTCCAAAAACACATCAGAGACTTAACTTGTAGTCTGAGAGGAAACCAAAAATCTATTTCTGTAAATTAAACTTTCACATTTTTCCTTTCAAGTAGCCCAGAAGTCAAAGAACTCCAGCATCCAGACAGCTGAGTTTTCTTCCAGAATATAATTTTTCACTTCTCTGAATTTCTGTATCACTTTCCAAAAAATAGCCAGGGAGCTGGCTAGGGGAGAAGAAGGAAGAAAGAATTTCAGGAAGGAATGAAAAACACAGATTAATATCTGTAAAGCTGGACTACTGTACTTCATAGTACAAGCCAGCTTCGAAGCCAATGGACATAACAAGCCTAACTATCCCCTCAGGGGAATTATAGGCTGCAAAGTGAAAACGGGCTGTGTGATTATGTGTGTGCTGGAATCTCGGGTAGTGAGGAAAGAGAGAGATGATGCCTTGTTTAATAAACATATGCTAGAAGTGTGAAAGCTGCAGTAATTTGGTTTCTAAGCTCTACCCACATCTCCATTTCACAAATTGTCTCTTTCATATGGATATAGAGTTGACCTTGCAGGCTCTTAGGCTTCAAGAGAACAGGGTCGCTCAGGGCCCAAGTCACCGCTCAACCTCCCCCACACATACCCCAGTTATATCTTTTTACTATCTCTGCTGGACACCACACCTTTCTGTAATTATAAATGTCTGCTTTCTGTCACTTCAAAGGTTTCCCAGCACTGGGAGTCCTTCTTCAAAGACTTTACATTGCTGAAGAACCTCTGTCATTGACAGGAGGCCTGTCTTTGAAGTTTTTCATGCCATTTATTGATTTCCTCTTTTTAGGATGTTCATATTAGAAAATATTTCACTGTTTTTGAAAAACTGTATATTTTTATGTTGTTGAGGGGCTACCTCTTTGAAGAAACAACGCTGTTGCAGCAGTGCCTCTCTATGAAGAAATCTGATAGTCTGTCTGCTGTTTCTTTATGTCCCTTGAAGCTCTCATTTTTAGAAACTTCCCCTCTTTGTTTCTTTTCTAATTGTAGGTACTATTTTAGGTATTTAAGTCAGTGTGAAGCTGTATTATCAATGTGACTAGGCCTAATTATAGGTCCTATCAGTGTACTTAAACTTTTCATTGCTTAATATCCCATTGGATTAGTGATAAAAAAGTGAAAATAATAACTTTGGAGCAAATTAAAACAATTTATGCATATTTACATGACAACTGTTTGGAATGGTGTTATACTGTTCTCACAAATCTGAATTTTCTAAAGTGTATGCATAAAGGCAACAAAATTCTGCAGTTTTTAACAGGAGGATGTCTTGAATACTTTCAGGTAACCATCATTAACTCTTTTCCTAAATTGATAAAAAGATTTGTGTGAGCACCCACTGTCAGCTTCAGTGAAAACGTAGCATCAGCAAAAACTGCTTGGAGAGTGATGTGAGCAGGCATAGCACTAGCAAATTCATGGAAGCTGCTCTGGCAATTCAGCTGAGGCAAATAATGAACACCTGATGGGCAGAAAGGTCTTAAATCTTAATCTTCTCTGATTCTGTTCTAATGGACAATTTTGAGTATAATGGGCAATTTTAATAGCTCACATTTTTGGATACTCAAGTTACATTAAGTTTTTGCAAGTATCTGACTTTTTTGGGGGGGAAGGGGGAGAAGGGGAGAGGTGGTGGTTTGTGTTGTTTTTTCTTTTCCTAGAGGCTTGACTTGAATCCCCTTATCTATTCCAAGGATACAGGCTCTTTTTGTATATACCAAGGGCTTTTGTTGGCATTATCTGCAAAATATCTTTGAAAATTAAGGAAGTTTGGACATTTCAAAGGAGAGACGCCTCAAACCAGCTGCCACTTTGCTCATTTCAACCTTTGACACTATGAAGAGTTCCAAGGACTTGTCTTCTGAAAGTGTTTACCTTGTAAGGTGGCTTCCTGGGTAGGGTAAGTTCACATTGCTCATATATTCTTAAGAGGAAATTTTTGACCTTGGATTACTTCAAAGATCTGACAGATTCTCTCCCTACCCATTCCCCCTCCCCCCCCCCCCCCATTTTGTTCAGTCTTCTGTCTTTGCACATAGGTTAATGCAGGCCTTTTGGCTTTTAGGATGAAAAGCTAGTACTGCCTTATTCTTTGCATGCCCTAAAGTATAGTCTGCTCTGATTAATTGAGAAACAATGAAAATAACTGCCTGGGGTACATATGTGATTGAATTGAACATTCTTAAATAACCATAGTGTGTTTTAGAACAGAGAAGTATTTTCCCCTAGTGGTAAGGTTGACTTTAGATATGTTTAAGTCTGTCTTTGAGTGTCACTGGCAAAGACTGCAAAGTTCATTGTGTCTCAGAAACATGCTGTTAACATGGAGCTGATCCCTGTGTGCACAAGAGATCTGACAATTCTGTAGTCACAGCACATGTGGATTGGCCCTACATCACATACACAGTGAATCTTTTAAAATAAGGAAGCATTAGATCTGTTGTGTGGGGGGGATATATGCAGAGAATGCACTGGCAGTGCTGCGGATGCACAGGTTGAGATGCATGGTATGTTTTGCAGAGCTATCCTGCCTACCCCATGTTTTGTATTCCTGTGCTCTAGAGGCAAGCAATGCAGAGCAGGCATTGTCTCAAAAAGTCCATGTTTCTAGGAAACTACAGAGTCAGCTTGGCTGTGTGACACAGGAACTGGTGAGTGAATGACTGAAGCTGTAGATTTAGCAAAAAATCATTGCAAAATTATATGTGTTGCTGAAACACTTTGAGCTGTCAGGTATATTTAAAGGAATACACAGCTTTCAAATGCAGAAAGGTATGTTTTATCATTCATACAATACCTGGGCAAACAGCCAGATATTTATGGCTGGGTTTATTGTTTTATCCCACAAAGTTTTAAAAGATCCATTAAGTAAAGCTTAAGTATGGCAAAACTTCTGGGAAACTGACTGATATAAGTGGCATGGAGTACCCACGTCCATGCATGTCATGAGGCAAATAAAAAAAAAATCAGCCTCAATAAGACACCCTGAAGTTAATGTCATTACACTGTGGCAAATTGTGATCCAAGTCTGCAATTTGTTGCTGCAACACTTCTATTAAGACTTGTGATATCATGCTCTCACATTCCTCTTGTGATATAAAAATAAATTATAAAGTTACTCATGGATTTTCAGTTTATGCACAAGCCATCTTCCTTTTTTTGGGTGTTACTTATAATGACTAAAGAAAGACATTCTACAGGTATGTTGCCAAATTAAAAATCCAGCTCCTCTGCTGGAGCCAGGCAATCTACAGAAGAAAGCATGTATCATCATGTTATTACGATAAAATAATTCAAACTGAGGAGCTGATGTTGCCTGGACTAAATAAATTTTGCTTTTTGTAGGGGTTGCACCAAGAGAATTTCCTGACTTCATGCTCAGAGACAGGAGGTTATGGTTCTCCACAGATGCTTTAAGTGCTTTATATCTCTACAGTCTTAATTTGGCAGGTTCTGCTGAAACTACCCGCAAAGGTGCGGTTCCTGAAGTTATCCTGATTTCACAGTTTGCTTTACTAAGGTAACAGATTGACTTCTTTTGTAGCCATCTGGAACTGACTTCTGTTGTTCATATACCACATTGGGTGGACACTGTGGTAGACAGGGAAACAGTAACTTCTTATCTTCTTGTACAGGTTTGTCATGTAACTGTGTCTTCCCTACCTAAATTTTCTGAATATTGTCTAAAATAGTTTGCCTAAATCTAAAATTATGGAATTGTACTGCTTTACTGCTACTCTTCCTAATAAAAGTTATCCTTAACATTTGGTAGGACCTTTACTTCTTTGGTGTCTCCATCTGGTGCCAAAAGGACTCTTCACTTCTATTAATTTTCTGGGCTTATGTAGCACAGAAGTGCTTCATACTGTTGTATAAAAGAAATGACCAATTCTTTCTGTATCATAAATCTTTTTATAAGCTTTGATGACACTAGCATTTTATGAAGAAGGAAATTAATGTAAATGAGATTAAATTATTTTTTCCTTCTGATGAGTTGTCATTGACATTTCTTGAATATTAAGGAAAGAGAGGAAGTGAAAAAGTTTGGGGTATATTATTTATCCCATATGTTTACAGTTTGCGTAGAATAATTATATAAAGGATGGATGCTTGTAGTGCTCTTCTCTGTGCATCATTAATGTGATACTTCTTTCCTTGTCACTAGATTTAAACTGTAGCATTGTAAGACAAACATCCTCCTTCAGCTGCTTCCATTATCCTGCATACTATTATAAAATGAGAGGAGAATGTAGTACTTTATCTCTTTATATATTGTAAAAATAATGAAGAGGATAATTATCAAGGCTGTAGTGCAATTTCATGGCATTGCTGTCAGTTACAAACTGCTTGAGCGCATTCCTTTGGTATAAAATGTCAAGAAAATCCCATGATTGAAATACAGTATTCTGATTAATTTCTTTCTATTATTAATTTCATGGGCTGTGTCTGTGCAGAATACTTGCTAATGGTTAATAAAAAGAGAATGAAATGCCGACAGTCCAGTTTTAGCTTTTAAGTTGTGAGTATCTTTCCATGCCCAACCTTTCATTGTGCTGATAAACAGAAATTAACAGACTTAAAAAAAAAAGTCAAACGAAACTTTGGCATTCTGTGAAGGGCCTTTGCTGAATATCTGTTTTATCATCTCTCTCTTCACAAAGTCAGTTCAGAGCTGAATGTTTATATTTGTAACCTTACTGGTATTACCAGTTTCCTGATGTGCACCATTTCTACTTGTAACCGTAGGGTGCAATGTTGTCTGAAGCCCTCTTCCTTCTTTACACTGATAAATCATAATATTTGTTACTTGGTCACTGGGCCTATAAGCACCAGTAAGAATGATGCTGTTTGTATAAATACCAGCCACTTTCCTGATTTTTCACTCACCTAAATTGCAGTAATAAAAATTCAAAGGGATGTCTCCATCCAGATTTATCACTTTTTTTTTAACGTTATAAAGCAGGCTGTTTATATGCTACCAGTGGGTGGCAGCTAGCTCCAGCCTGAAGGTGGGCACTTGCTTCTACTTAAATATCTTGCTATTAAGAAATGCCAGTGCAGTCTGTGCAAGTTTGTGCAAAAAACTGAGAGCTTGAACACCATATACATAGAAGCTAAAAGAAGGACTGCAGATCTTATTTGAAGGGAAAAAATTTGAGGGTAAAAGCTCATGTTTCAAAACTAATGGCACCCTTTCCCAGTTTTATCCTAGACCAGGTGTTTTTACTAGACTTCTTGCCATTTTGCATTTCTTTTGAGAAAATCATAGTTTTTCAAAATCCTCTGCAAAAAATCATTAGCATTGATAAGTTCTGCTTTCCACACATGACACTGCCTCCTGCAGGCTAGTCTATAAGTACACAAAATAATTATGGCACATCATAAATAATGAATATACCTATCAAGGTTTTGCAGGATTGCTTGTGACATGAACATAAAACATTCTGAGAATAGGAGAGGAAATTGCTTGGAATTGGCTGTTGAATTGTCTGATTTATAGAGAGGAAGTTGAGCCTGGATTTGGGCCATGCAGGACATTAGTTAATTCTAGAGGTTTGTGCCTGAATGGGTTTAACTCCACTCTGGGATAGACATTTGTGAAAAGAAATCAAATGTTGCTTTCATTCCTCTGCTGCTGTTGCTGCTGTGCTGCAAATCCTCCGAGTTCTTCTAAAATCACTGAAATAGCCAGCTGTGTACCTAGAATGGCTGGCAGCATGGCAGGGAGCTGCTGCCAGGTATTCCTGGTACGTTTGGCAGCTCAAATGAGGAATGAGTTAATATCTTTTTCCAGGGCTCAGTGTTGCATTTAAGCAGAATCCTGCACTGGAGGGAGCTGCATCCCTTCAGTCATATTGCCTCAAGGAATCATGTCTCAAAACACAGAAGCCCTACTAGGTGTCCTGGCAGACTGAAGAAGGTGTTGCTTTGCTGCTCCACTTCAGGGGAAGAAAAATCTTCCTGCTAATATAATCAGCCAGTTTTGGTAGCCAAAGCATGGGCAAATTTTTGTCATGGTCCTGCTTTTTTCTTGCTGCTTCTGTCCCACATTTGTGTGCAGAAGTAGAAGGCATAAAAATGGACCTTGTTCCTTCTCTTGTCTGGTAGTAATAAATCTGTGGGACATCTGGACATCAGCTGGTCTTCAATTTGGACTGTGCAAAGAATAGTGAAAAGTATTAGATGTCAATTGGAAGAATGTAATTTTACAGGGTCATTTTCTTGTTAGATTCATAAATGAAAATGGTGGTGCATACAAACATCCATTTTATTTCCTTTTCACATGTGGCCCATTTAGTCCAAAGATTGGGAGGAACCAGAAGCACTTGCTTCTGAAGGAAGTAAAATATCTCTACCATCAATAGTTACAGGATAATGTGTCCTCAGAATGTTTTTCTCTAACATTCAAGAGACAAAACTGAAATTCATGTATGAAGTTTATATCTCTCAAAGTTATTATTGTCGTAGTCCAGCAGTATCTTCATGTTGCATCTAGCATGTTCAACAAACATTTCAAAATAGTTTGGGAGAGGATGACCTGGACCACCTGATTTTCTAAAGGTCAGATGTTTGTTTTCGTTAAACTAGTGCAGTCTGGAGTCATGCTACTGCAGTGACTTGATTTGCTCTTTTTTGAAAGTGATATTATGGAGGAAAACTAGTGTCCAAAGGCACTGCTTACTCTTGAGTGGTGGGAAAAGAAAGAATTAAAAAGACCCTAATTGCAATAATGCCTTAAGCAGGGAGCTAGATTTTGGTAAGAAACTCAAAAAAAATAAAGGATTCCAGCTTGTAAATAGAGATTGTATTAGGGTCTGATTTGAGAGTGCAGTTGGAAATTCATTACATATCCTACCATAAAACAAATCCTGAAATCAGTGAGGTTATATGGAATGGTTCTGTGATCTGAGCGTGGTATGGTGTTTGCAAATGACTGTTCTGTGTATTCTGCTTTGCCAAGTTCATTTTAAATGATCTTCAGTGTGTTTCAGGCTTGAAGTGCTTGGTCATTATTTTTATCTCAGGGAGTCTGTTGATTTTATGATCTGCATTCCCCTTATGAACTCTTCAAGTCTAATTTCTTTGCTTACCTTCAACTGAGGCATTTCATAGTTATACAAATGTGTGTTTATCTCTTTCTCTGCTTGAGGCTGTTCTAAACTGCCAGTATCTCTTGGAGGGCTAATTTCAGTAATGTGTAACACTCCAAATGCATCTGCAAAGATGGCAAGGGACGGAACAGCGAAAGCACTCTGTAATACTTTGGGAAGGGAATGCCAGTGAAGAATGGGAACAAGAATGTCAGAAAAGCCAAAGATGTCGTCTACCTCTAACAAATTCCACATAAACTTATATACAGACTGTTCTCCTGGCATGCAAAGGTAGTTATTTGAAGGACTTGCTCTGTATATGCAATTTATAACAAAAGTCACTATCTAAATGGCCCTTCTGGATCTATTTCACTTTCTTCTGATCTCAGCTTACACAGTGATCCTCTTTGTGGATACAATTTGCAGTCGTCAATTTCACTGATTCTATTTTGTTTCTTTCAGATGCCATTAAATGCATTTCTTTGAAAATGCTGACTGCTTTAGGTGTACTGTTTGATCCAATAGCTGGTACCCTACCTCACCATCTGGCAGTTCTGCCCTTGTGTTCATGAAAGAATAGTTTATCAAGAATGAAAATAAAGAATTTGATGTGTTATGGGTAGCTTTTCAGGAATCTCCATGTGAGCAGCTGGCGAGATAGCTGATCTGTTTTTGTTTATGCAGTTTTGGAACAATCTCTAAGTATCATTTAGTTCTCTTTTTTATTATTTATGACCAGCTTATGCAAATAAATAATCACTTTGACCTTGGTTAGACAACTAAAGTGGGTGGGTAGTACTTCGCTTTAGATTACTAGGTGCTGGAATGGCTAAGAACTAAGCAGTAGTAGGTTTTCCGTCTTTTGCATTCATACAAACATGGAGTGCTTAACACAGAAGAAAATAATTAAAAATTAAAAATAAAAAATGCCATGGCTTACTCTTGGTGCCCCAGAAGTGTCCATTGTAGTTATTTATAGTCCAAAACCAAAGTCAATGCTTTTCTTCACTCTGGAACCCTGGAACCTTTTACTGCTTGATATTTTTGTCTTTGCTGTTTGTGATGCAATGGTCAGTAAACCAGCTATATCTTGTAATTTCTATGATCTAAATGTTCTGTTATACACATAAAATGAGTAAATGTACATAAGTGCATACAGAAAAGAAGGAAGCAGAAATTTAAAATAGTGAGGTAAAGTTTTGGTACAAAGGTCTGTATAGCTACAGGGAAGGAAGAGTATCATCACATAGCTTTCACTTTTAAATTATTGTTTTGAAGGAAAAGAAATGAGAATGATCCGATACTAAAGCAACAGGATGGTGAAATTATCTAAACATTTGAATTTTCAGCACGCCTTCATACAGTGGTAAAGCCCATATCTGGAGCCTGTATTCTCACTTTAATGATTATGACAAGATCAAGAAATTTGATATGAAACTTCCTCATAAGAATGACTTTAAGAGCACAGCACTAGCTGTAGGATAGCTGCAGATGGGGAAGTATGTCTTTCCAAGTTCAGCATTGTTTTAATGCTAAACATGTTT